CTATGGAAAAATCTGTAAGAACCTGGCTAAGTATACAGTTGTCTAGGTTCCCTGTAGGACTTACGGGATGACTTGCACCTAGGGTTTCTTCTGATCCAGGGCTGCTTTCTAATTTCTCATAATAAAGTTTCTGATGTTTTTGTTTTTCAAATGCTCTTTTTCCCTTGAAAGTACCATGAACCAAATATTGTTGAATATGTGGTGAAATGCTCAGAGAGCTTTGGGGTACGGCTCAGTGGTAGAGTACTTGCTTAGCATGTGTGAGGCCTGGATTTGATCACCAGCACTGCCAAAACAAAACAAACCAAAACAAGTGCTCAGAGGTACACAGAGGTAGTAATTAGTCATCAAGTGGGAAAGATGCAATAATAATGCTTGGAGACCCTATTATTTAGTCAGCCCTTGGTGACCATGGGGGTTTCATTCTAGCACCCCATCCCCCCATGCCAAAAGGGTAATCAAGTCCCTTGAATAAAATGGTATATGCCTGGCATGGTGGCACACTCCTGTAATCCCAAGTACTCAGGAGGCTGAGGCAGGAAGATTGCAAGTTCAAGGCCAGTTGGTGCAACTTAGTAAAACCCTATCTCAAAATAAAATGAAAAGGGCTGGGGATGTAGCTCAGTGGTAGAATGCAAGGCCCCAGGGTTCAATACACAGTACTAAAAAAAGAAAAAGGTGTAGCATTACCATATAACCTGCTTACTTTAAACAAACTCTAGACTACTTATAATACCTAATACAATGAATGCTATGTTAAGTGAATGTTCTACCATGTTATTTAGAGAATAATGGCAAGAAAAATGTCTGGACATGCTCAATACAGATGTAATCTTTTTTCCTAAATATTTATGATTCACAGTTGGTTGACTTTGCTGGTATGGAGGGCAGACTATATTTTAGTAATCCTTTTTGGAAAGAAAATGGCCACTCTACCTAGTAGAGGACTAGGGAAAACAAATACACATGAAACATCACCTACTTCATTCTTAAACAACAAGTATTTTATTAAATTGCTGCATGTAACACATTTTACCTTTTCATTGAAAGGAAAGGGAGGAGGATTAAATTATAATGGCTATAAATAAAAATAATGTTAATTATTTCCTACTAGATATGAAATCAAAATTACTATATGGAGCAAATATCAACTTATAAGGATGTAGAAGTCATAAAAATAGGTGGTGTGTCAGTCAGCTTCTCATTGCTGTGACCCAAATACCTCACAAGAACAACTTAGAAGAGGAAAGGTTTATTTTGGCTCATGGTTTCAGAGGACCCAGTACATGGCCAAGAAGCAGAGTCAAAGAGACAGAAAGGGGCCAGGGACAGATATAGTCCCCAAGGCTATGTTCCCCGTGACCTACTTCCTCCAGCCATGCCTCATCTGTCTATTATTTTCACCACTCTCCACTAAATCCTTTCAAACTATTAATTTATAACATGGATCAATCCACTGATGAGGTCAGAGACTTCATGATCCAAATCTTTTCACCTGTGAACATTGCTGCATTGCCTGACACATGAGTGTCACTGCACTTGTACCTGCTCAGTTCATGAATGGAGCAGCTTTTCCTCTGCTGGACTGCTGAGGGCCATTGCCAAGTAGGAATGACGCATCGAAATTTCCTTGCCAGCGTACCCCATGTTAAATGGACTTGCCTTGGACATTGCATGTGTCTTTGAGAAAGGTGACCCTGCTCAAGAACCAGGGTGGATCCAGGATTAGGGTGTATCCTGCAGGTTTTAGGAAGTATCCGGGTTTAAGATAATTTGGATTTAGGGTGTTCCCGGTTTAAAACAAATTTAAGGCGTTCCCGGTTTAAGACAATGTGGTTTTAGGGAAGTTCCATGTTTAAGATTATTGCTTCGGGGAATAGGGCGTTTCTGCTGCCGGGAGTTCCCGCTGAGTTCTCGTGGAGAGAAAGTTTTTTGGGACTTGAATTGTGCAGGAGAACTTGGATTTCCCCAGAACGTGTTTGTAGAGGGCTGGTGTGAGTTCGGGAATAAAGAATTGCTGTTTGAATCTACAAAGCTGTGAGTGGCTCATGATTCAGTGCCAAGCCGAGACATTGGCACTGGACCCTTTCCCCATGATGTGCTGGCTCACCTTGGGCCCAGAGTAATGGAGTTGGCTGCCTATGGACTGAGGCCTTTGAAATCATGAGCCCTAAATAAACACTTCCTCCTATCAGTTCTTCTTGTCAGATATCTTGGTCACAGAGATGCAAAAGCTGACTAAAGCACCTATTGTGTGCCAGCCAGAATACTAGGAACAAAATGGACAGGATGTCTACCCCCAGTTTTCTATAGAAATCATGAGATAGGGATTTTGAATAAAGGGAAAGATATTGAGTCTCAAAGGAAGTGCCTATAAACATTGATATGCAGAAATAACTGCAACTCCTTGGTGACGAGCCCTTGGCTGGCACCCTTGACCCATGCATGCCATCATAACATTAAGGCAATGTACAAGCACAGAGAAAACTTGCACAAAATTGTGCAGCTCCCCCTGCTTCCAGCTCTAATCCAGCCCTTAGCACCAGCCCTCTATAAATATTAACACCCCACATAAATGGTTTGCTATCTCCCTTGAATACGTTTTTTTTTTTTTTTTGCTTTACTCTAAGTGCACTTCTCTCAAAATTGCCTCTTTGAATATGTATGTACTTTCCTAAATAAGCCTCTGTCGGTGCCTTTGACTTGCACACACTGAAATTTTTTTCCGTCACTTATGCCAAGAACCCCACTGGTCTTGAGTCAAGTTCCCCCTTCTCTCTAGAAACTCCTCAGACTCTTCTTCAGAGACATGTCTTCTCCTGTACAATTCTACCTCTTCAGAATAATAAAAGCTTGAATTTTCTACCAGACTGTTTTTGTTGGCTTCTGATCTGCTGTGTCCAAAAGACCCAACAAGAACAATTTAAAAGAGGAACGCCTATTTTGGCTCATAGTTTTAGAAGTCTCAAAGCTCTCTGAGATCTCAATCTACAGACTGTGGACTCCGTAGCTCAGAGTCCCAGGTAAGGCAGAATATCATGGCTGAAGGGTGTGGTGGAGGAAAACAGTTCAAGACATAACAGCCAGGAAGCAGATACAGAGCTCTGCTCACCAGGAACAAAATATAAACTCCAAAGCCAAGCCCCAGTGACCTACTTCCTCCAGCCACACCCTGTCTACCTACAGTTCCCACCCAGTTAATCTGCATCAGTGGAGGATCTAAAAATTTCACCTGTGAACATTCTCACATTATTTCACACGTGTGATTTTGGAGGACACCTTATACCTTAAGCACAAAATAGACTAATATCAAAGATAATAAAAATAACTAATTTGGCTACTTATAATGATGACCCATAAAGCCTTCTCCACTTTTATTTTGTTTGGTTGGTTTTATTTTTAAGTTTTTCTCTTTCCACATTTTTATTGGGTACATTATAGTTGTACATAATGATGGGATTATTGCTACATATTTGTATGGGCACACAATATAACAATATAATTTGACCAATATCACTCTCCAGAACTGCCACCCTCCCTCCCTTCCTCCAGCCCCTGGTCCTTTTCCTGTACTGATTTCCCTTGATTTTCATGAGATCCCTGCCCCCTCTTCTTATCCTTGTTCCTCTCTAGTTTCCACACATGAGAGAAAACATAAGACCCTTGACCTTCTGAATTTAGTTTATTTCGCTTAACATAACGGTCTCTAGTTATATCCATTTTCCTGCAAATGACATAATTTCAGTGTTCTTTATGGCTGAATAAAACTCCATTGTGCATATCCATTTTCTTTATCCATTCATTTATTGATGGGCACCTAGGCTGGTTCCATAGTTTGGCCTTTGTGAACTGTGCTGCTATAAACATGATATGCATGTATCACTATAGTATGGCGACTTCAATTCTTCAGGATAAATGCTAAATGAGGAATGGGTCCTCAAAAAATTAGGAATGCATCCACTAACTCTTACAACAATTCTGTGAGGTAGACAGGAACAATATTACTTGACCCCACTTCACACCTGGAATACTACTACAACACAGTAATTCTCGATTTCTGGTACTAAATTCTTCACATTCGTTATCTTATTGATTTATCCTAATAACTCTGTAGGTAGATACTATTATTTTCCTCTTTTCAGACTAGGTAATAAGGAAGTTTAAGTAACAATGCCCAAGAGGACATTTATTGTTACAGGCAATGGAACCCCAGTGCTCTCTGCTGCAGAAAACGTAGCTGAACAAAAACAGCCAGTGGAAATGCAGAACTAGTTCAGGCCAGAAGACCTTTAACACTGACAGATTCCCAAAGTTGAAACTATCTTAATCCCAGGGTTTGAAGACGAGAAGATTCTGGCTAACTGGCTTTAAAAAAAAAAAAAATCCACCCTAACAAACAATTTAACTACTGCAGTAATTTGGGAACAGAATACTCTCCTAGTATTTCCTTTGGAAGCAATGCTTACATTGAAATCAGGAACACTCAGAAGGAGGAGGCGGAATTTCGCCAAACCAAAACACAGCCTCCTGCAATCCTTATCCAGCTGGGTGGTGAACATCCCTGCTGGAAGCGGGTTGAGGCAAACAGGTTAAATCACACGAATTAAATGGCACAAGAGCTGAAAGGGACCATGGAAATAATGGATGGATACCAGTGTGCAGCCCTTTCTGAAGGACAGGATGTTCCCGGGCCTCCAGGAAAACATCTTGGTGCTAGAAGACATTCCCTCTTTCCTCTTTCACTTGCTTTCTCTTCCTCTCCCGCTGCCTTCGTCCTTCCTTTCCTTGGGTAAACACTTTTTAAAAACGTGGTGACCATAAAGGCCAGGTCCAGCTGGTGCTAAATTTCTGTGGGAAGGAGACGAACCCGATTTCCCCGCGGATTAAAACATGATTAAATCAAGGTCGCGCTCTTTCTCCCTCCCCCAGGCCAGGTCCCCGCCCCAGGGGTGAAGGACGTGCTAGCCCGGGTAAGGCAGTACCGCGGGGCTGGGGAGGTGCCTGGGTTGCTCCGGGGCAAATTGGGCAGGTCCGGGCAGCGCTGGGCTGCGCGGTCTCCCAGACAACGGACAGCGGGCGGGGAACACACCACCCAGGGCCGGGCAGAGATCGCGCAGCCTCTGGCACCATGACCGACTGCAGGCGGCTCTTGCGGTCGGGGACGCTGGCCCCGGTGCCCGAGCGCCGGTACTGCGGGCCCGGGTAAGCGGCGCGCGGAGGCCGCGCGAGGGCGCCTGGATCCTATGCTCACGGGGTTGGGGCAGGGGCGGGGGTGGGTGGCCGATGGGCAGAGGGCTGGGCGGAGGCCCCACTTGCCTTTCTTCCTCTGTGGCTCCTGCACTTGTACCTGTACAGTCACGCAAAATATCCAGCGCTCCATGCGCCTAGCAAATGACCCCTCCTTCCCTCATCCTCACAACTATGGAGGGGCTACCCCAGCCAGATAGGAGACTGATGGCCACGGAGTCAATCGTGGAGGCTGCCCTAGCTAGGCCTTTGAGCTGCGATCCTCTAACCCACCTTTTCTTTCCCTCGTTGGCCGACTGTTCCACAGATGCTTTGGTTCCCCTGGATATTTGAATCCAGTGTAAAGCATTAGCGGTACCTGGAGCCTTTGGCAATCCAACTGATAGCTCTAGCCAAGCCGAGCCCCTGGTGGGGTAATGAATCAGGTGTGGGGAGGCCTCCCACCTTTTTGAAGGGTTCTTGTCACAGCCACTGTGGGCAGGAACATGAGACTTTTCCTTTTGTTAATTCATAAGAATTGCTTTTGGCTCACGGTGGAGGCTGTTCCTAGTGGCGGTTAAGATGCCAAAGTCTAGAATCAGAAAGGCCAGGTCTCCTCATGCTTGCCTGGTGACCTTAAGTAACTTAGCGGCTCCTTCTGGGCTCACTTTTCTTAACTGTGAAATGGGAACAATAAAAGGAATCAGCTTTATAGAATTGTTGGGGTGATTAAGGGAGGTAGCGCATGGAAACCTGTCACTGGCATATAGTATGCACTGTATATATGTTAGCAATTATGAACTCTTTGAGATTTTGGGTCCCTCCCCCATTTACACCTTTTTTTTGGTTTGTTTTGAAATAACTGTAGACTCACAAGAGATTGCAAAAAAAGTTCAGAGTTCCCACACATCCTTCCCCCTAGCTGCTTCCAAGGGTACTATCTTACATAACTATAGTCCATTACCAAACCAGGAAATTGACATTGATATAACTTAGTAATTAGACTACAGACCTTCTCTGGATCACGGCAGTTTTTACTTACACTCCTGTGTGTGTATATAGCTCTGTGCATTGTCATGTGTATACTGCAAGATGCAAAGTGTTTCATGACCACTAAGGAACCACTTTGTACTATCCCCTTCTCATCACTCCTTTCCCCATCCCCCAAACCTTGACAACCACAAATCTGTTCTCCATTTCTATAATTTTATTCTTTTAAGAATGTTAGTTAAGTAGAATAATACAGTGTATAACCTTTTGATTTTGGCTCTTTTTCACTGGTCATAGATTCTTGAGATCCATCCAGGTTGTGTGTATCAACCATCTGTTCATTTTTGGTACTGTGTAGTGTTCTGTGTTATGGGTGTTCCCCACTTTATCTAGACACCTGTTGAGCAAATGCAGGTTTTTTCCAGTTTCTTTTTCTACTACCTATAAAGCTGCTATGAACACTGTGTTAAGGTTTTTGAAAGAACTTAAGTTTTCATTTCTTAGAGTTAGGCATGTATCTCAGTGATAGAGTACTTACCTAACATGTGTGAGTGAGGCCCTGGGTTCAATCCCCAGTGCTGAAAAAAAACAAAAAAACTTTTTTTTTCTTTTTTTTCATTTCTTTATGGTAAATTTCCAAAGTTCATTGCAATTATTATGGAGGGAACTAGCCATATGTCTTATACTAGTGTCTGTGAAAATAGTATTGGTTGGGGGAAAAAAATGTTGGGGGACCTGGGGATGTGGCTCAAGCGGTAGCGTGCTTGCCTGACATGCGCGGGTGCTGGGTTTGATCCTCAGCGCCATTTAAAAATAAAATACAGATGTTGTGTCCACCGAAAACTAAAAAATAAATATTAAAACAACCCTCTCTCTCTCTCTCTCTCCCTCAAAAAAAAAAAATGTTGGGTTTTTTTTTGGGGTTTATTTTTTTGGTGGCACTAGGAATTGAACCCAGGGGTACTTGACCACTGAGCTACATTCCCAGTCCTTTTTGGTTTTTATTTTGAAATAAAGTCTCACTAACTTACTTAGGACCTTGCTAGGTTGCTGAAGCTGGCTTCCAACTTAAAATCCTCTTGCCTCAGCCTCCCAAGTTGCTGTGATTATGGGCATGTACTACTATGCATGGCAAAAAAAGTGTTTTCAATTTTATGGGTCAAGCAAGATTTTCCTGGGCTTAAAAAAATACAGAGAGGAGACCGATGTCTATAATGCCAGGGACTCTGGAGGCTGAGGCAGGAGGATAACAAATTCAAGGCTAGCCTCAGCAACTTAGTGAGATTCCCATCTCAAAATTATAAATAAATAAATAACTAAGTCTGGGAATGTAGCTTAGTGTGAAGCACCCCTGGGTAAAATCCCCAGCACCCTTGTTCCCTACAAAATGCAGATAAGTGAGCTCTTTAGCTACATGAGGCTATGTGAAGTAGATGAAAGCACTCCCTCTAGCCTCACTCACCTCTCAGAACTGTTTTCTCATTGAAAGTGAAGAAGGTGGTCAAGATTTCTTTGAGGGTTTCTGCCAGCTCTAATGTTCTAAGAAGCCTGGACTAGGCGCTCACATTTCCCATTTTGAATCGTATAGCTATGCTTAAGCAAAAACATTTGTTGTCAGATTTGATTTTAAGAAGTGCTTGGATAGTTGAGTTAGTCATAAATATGTGGAAAATAAATGTGAAAATATTTAATAATGAGGAGGGTTACTTGCCGACAGGTCATGCTGAATGGGTTGTTAATCTCAAGCTTAGATGCAGTTTCAACACCCTTCTGCTTTTAGCAATCTGAGAGTGATTTATACAAGGCAGAGAGCAACTTTTTACAAGTCACCCTTTTGTGTCCTTTCATTTAAATTTTCACAATAGAGCTGGGTTAAGCCTTTACCACACACACACACACACACACATACACACACACGTACTCACAGCAAATAAGAAGCTTCTAGGTTTCACCAGAAAAGAATAGGGACAAGGCTAGAATCTCTTAAAAATGCTTAGTGGCTATGGTTACAGTAAGAATTAGATTGGGTGTAAAGAGCAATTTTTATTGATAACAGGGAACTTCAGGTAGAAGAGGCTTCAGGAAAAGACACCAGTGCTCCACGAAGATCTGACCAAGGACCTGAGATGTGTTAGGATAACCAGGGCTCAGGTTCCAAGTCCTGGCTTTGGCATTGGCTGGTTGTGTCAGGTTATAGAGGAGCTGGTTTCATGGCTTCCATCTCATCTTCATGACCTAAATACTCACTGCAGACAGGGGCCTGGTGGGTAAGGAAGCTGGCTGAAGCAGGCTGCTTAAGAGGCAGTAGGGAGAGGTGGAGGCTGGGAAGGAGACAGCATGTGATTTACCTGAACTGGGCAACCATTAAGCCATTGGTGGCTCCATAGAAAGGTGGACCCAGTGTTCCCAGATCTTGGAAACTCTCCTGATTTTTCAAGAGGAGTTGGAGTTCTAGCTTGTTTACGTGAACATGTTTATATATTGGGAGCTCTAATGTAGTTGTTAAGCAGACTTTTCTGGTGCCACACTACCTGGCTTAACATTCCAGCCCTACCACTCTTGAGCTGCTTGAGCTTTGACAACGTGCATTGTATCATTTAACTTCTTGTGCCTCAGTCTTCTTATCTGTAAATGAAATAATGAGATTTAAACATACCAATGCATATAAAGAACTTAGTACAGTGCCTGTCATGTAGGAAGTGCTCAATATATGTTAATTATTATGATTCTTATTAAAACACAAAGAAGGCCAAGTGACAGGATTATGTGCCACCATCTTGCAGCCTTTCACCTACTGAGTTTCAGGAGGAACCACAGACCCTAGAGGTTGTATAAAGTGCCAGTGTCACTCGGCTAATTAGAGGCTAATTTGTCACTGGGACCCAGATTCTTTCCACTCTACTACACTGTGTCCCATTTAGTGAAAACAAAGTGTCCCTGAAAGGGTCAGCAATTTGAGTGTCTTTCTTACAGAGTTCAAGTCACAAGAATTCAAGAATGAATACAAGATGTGGTGGCAGTAGTTTGAACAATGGGTTAGACTTATGCTTGGATGGGTCTTTAAAATACAGTGACATGGATGAGTCTCTGAAGTACAGTGCTTTTAAACAAGAAACAGAACAGTGTCTACCATTTAAGTAAATTAAGAATACATGCACATAAAAGGACAATTCAGATATTTCAATGAGGTGTGAAAACAAAGAATGCACTTCAAATCCCTTAGAGTGGTTTTGCGGATGAGGGCAGTGGAGGTGAGATGTGGGGACAAGATGGAGTAAATAGAGCTAGATGTGGTGACGCACTCCTGTAGTCCCAGCAGCTTGAGAGGCTGAGGTGGGAGGATGACTTGATCTCACAAGTTTGAGATCAACCTGGGCATGGTGGTGAGACCCTATCTTAAATTTTGAAATAATAATAATAAGAGAATAAAGGAAGCTGAGGTGAGTCTTTGCCCAAACCAGTGATACTGTGCCATGAACTTGGAGTATGATCGACTCAGCCTTCTTGTGAATACTTCTTCCCAGAATCTCTCCCTCAGAAAGGTTGAGTCCAGCCTCCTTGCGATCTCCTTGTCCCATCCCAGTCCTCTGGTCCATAAGATCTTACCTGGTGTCTTCTAGGTACAAAGAGCATCTTCCCTCCGGGTATTTCACTGTGCACAGAAGGCTGAAGTTTCCCAGCTCCCTGAACAGCCAGCGCTGGGTGTTTGTGGGAGAGGGCCTGGACTTCAGGAAAGGCTGTCGGCCTTGTGGAGGTCTAATGGCTCAGGGCCCCAAGGAGAGCTTTCTGCCCATGATTCATCATGGAGTCCCTCCACTACCCTCCAAGAAGAGGCCGAATGAGCTGCTCTCCAGGCTCTCGTGGGCCCAACGGGCTCGGAAGGCTTTTGTGGAGGATGTGGAAGCCCGCTTGGCTCTGCATCCCCTGGCTCTCCATCCCCACCTGGAAGAAGCCATGCCTGCCCAGGTGATCTGTCCCAGGGCTTGAGGGATGGGTTTCATGGGGACCTTGGAGAAAATTCTCTGGAGATGCCCAGAGACTCTCCTTGAGGGGGGGGACTCATTTATAAGAAGAAAAGAATGCTCCCCAGGGTGACATTCTCATGGGGCTCAGAGAAGCCTTTCTTTCTCTGCCCCCAAGAAACACAAACAGCACCAACACTAATCTTCTCCCTTCACTCCTGTGAAACCATTTGACTTGCAAAGGTACAGCAAACCGGGACATTCTGACTTTCCCCCTCAATCTACTTTGCTTTGTGACTTTTGGGGAGAAGGAGAAATGGAGCAAATTGTTCAATCTTACTTCTGTCCCATTAGCCTGGAGCTAGGAGGTGTCCTAAAGTACTTACGGGCAGATGGACACCACATATATAACCTGAAAGGTCATCGGGAAAATCTACCAGATCGTCAAAGCCAAGGCTGGCAGCAGCTCTGTCATATCCCCAATGTCTTGACTTCTGATGTTCTGCTCCATACTCCTTAGCCTACATCTCTTGTCCTTATATCTAATAATGGTATTAAGTCTGTCTTTCAAATCCAAAGGAGGAAGGGGCAAAGTTAAAGGTACATGCCAGCTGACTCTGTCTCGTAATGATGCACAAAATAGCTTTCCCAGGAAACATCACTTCTGGCTGCTAGGATGTCTAGAAATTGAGTTTCTTAGTTGAGCACTGCAACCTTGAACGAAACCCAGGTTCTGTTAGATTTGAGGAGAAAGGGCAGAATGGGTAGGGCAGGGCACTAGCAGTGCCAGCTCCCCCACACTTACCCTAACAGCCTGTTCATGGTTCACAGAGGTAAATCCAATCATGTCACTCCCCTGCTCAAAACCCCCTCTCATTTGGTAAACCCAAAGTCCTTCCCTGGTCTGAGAGGCCCTGAGAGCTCCTGCTCTGCTCCCTCTCTACTTTCACGGCCTGCTCCTCTGCACTCACTCCATTCCAGCCACTCTGCCCTCCTGGCTGTTCTGTGAAACTTACAAGCATGTCTGGCCCCTGTTCTTGTGCATGGAACACTTGTCCCTAGATGACTGTTTGGCTCTCTCCTTCGGCTCTTTGCTCAAATGTCCCCTTGTTGTTGAGGCCTGCACACAATAGCACTTCCCTTCCACCCTCACCCTTTGTCCCTCCCCAGGTTCTAGGTGTCATTATAGGTTTTGTCACCACTGGCTTCTCACTGTGAGCTCAGGGACTTGACCTTTCATTGTGTATTACCAATACTTGGCCTGTGATAGATGCTCAATAAATATTTTTAATGAGTAAGGGACTAGTGGCAGAGAAGTCCATTAAGAGGACAGCTGGAATTGCTGATCCATTCATTTCCACCTGGGGCTTTTCTTCCCTGCCTCCTGTAGGCCCAAGATTCTGAATCCATGACAGAGAGATTGTTTGCACACACCTCAAATGGCACAGGGACATGGCATGGGATTATGGCTCTTATTTCCATGTCTGACCTCCCCAACTAAATATTTTGGCTTTTTTTTTTTTTGAAGAACCTCTTTTTATGGTGCTAAGATGGCCACCAGCAGCGCTACCCACCACAATCCCAGCAAAATCCTATGCATCCCACTTAATTGATAAGCCCATTCCTAAACCAGTCCCTGAAGTTCTGATTGACCTGACCTGCCTGTAGAGTCAGGATGTGGTTAGGCTGATTCAGATCATATGGGTTGAGATGGAGGGAGAGGTGATTCTCCAAAGAACAAGCCAGATATTGTTATTCATGGGAGGAAGGATATAGGTTGAGCAGGCAAAAATTTCAGAAATTCTATGGAGATACTTTAACCCATGGGACCTTCGGGGATGAGGTAGACCCAGCAGCATATTCCATCTAGAGGAGGTGGGACTGCTGTAGTACAAAGCCTGTATACCTCCTGTCGAGGTGATGAGAGATTTGTCCACAGCACCCCACAAAGTACTTGGCACAGAACTTGATGGATGGCATTGGTCGGCTAAAAAGGGCAAACAAAGGGGCCAGTAGGTCTGCTTTGCTTTAGAATAGGGGGTCCCCATGCCAACACCTTTTCCTTTCTTGCTAAGGCTTTTTTTGTTTGTAGCTCTTATTACAGGTGCTGGAAGTGCTTGATCCTGAGAGGAAGCTGGAGGATACTTGGGCTTATTGTCAGGACACCAAGAAAGGAACAAAGGAGCCCACAAAGCTTTCTAAAAACCATTCTACCCAAGTGTGCCTGGGACTGTGAGTGTTGTTATTCACCCCTAGCTCGTGGTTGTCACCTGACAAAACATTGTAGAAATTACTTTCTCAAAGATTTTCATTTTTGGAATAATCTTGAAGAAGCAAAATAACTAAGCTCTTGAGGAGAAAGGAAAAGTGTTCAGGGTCCTGCTCTGAACAGTGCTGATTTCTTAAATGAATATGTTTTATTTAGCAATGGTGCAAACATGGGTGTCCACATGATGCTTGTTCAATAAGAGAACAGCAAAAAGCCTGACTAATTGGCATATAATGGTTCTTGAATTATCTATGGCAGGAGCCCTTTTACTCAACATTACTGAGGCCAGTAGATAGTTGGATAATCACCAAAATAATTAATAATACAAGGAAGTGTAAAGGATGATACATAAGTACTTGAATTATTTTATTTTCTCCTAAAGCATAAGTTTACATTCACTTGCTGATCTTAATATAAAGCCTTTTGGCAAAGTATACTGCTTAGTTTCCACTCATTTTTCTTGCATGAACTGTACATTGAAATTTTCCAAAGACTTACACTTAGTAGAAACATCTCTATTTTGTATCACATTCTTGTTTCCCCAATTCACCTAATATTTAATTAAATAATGTAAATACCATGATAAGTATAGTTGACATAAATGAATTTGGGATACATATTTGACTTTTAAAACTCAATGAGCTCACTGGGGTGTGTTGTAGATGGGGGAGAACTATCTAGCAGCCTAGCCACAGAACCCATAATGTTTACAGCTTTGGAGACCCTGGTTACTGTGCTCAGTAGTGGCCTGAAGAGCTCTGTCAGTCACACAAGTTACCTACATGAAGGTGGATTAAGAGAGAATCCAGTGTATTGAATCATAATGTTTGTTGACCTAAGGTGATAGGTGTTCTACTGTAGTGATATTTTTGACCCGTCAGTCTACTCCTTAATGAATTTGGGGAGAGCAAATGGGCATGCTCACCTCAGTTTTTCCCCTCTTCCACTGGGGAGCAAAAAAGCCCATGTGAAGGACAGGTTCTTGCTCCTCCACCCTAGAGGGGAAGTTGACTCTCATCCAGCCCTGCTGGGAACTGTGTGGGAGAGTCCACCAGTATCTGAATTTCAGTTAGCAAGCCCTCTTGGCTCTAAAGCCATCATCCAACATGGCTGCTATTAGTAATAAAGGTGATATTTTGACTTTTGTCTTTGGTCTTTGCATTATTTTTCAAATTGCTCAGAACCTGAGTATAGAAGGGAGAGGAATATTATATGTAAAGATCTATGATAAAATAAGAAATATACATATAGGATCTGCCTTTCACTTTGGGCAGTTTCCTTGTTGAATCCTACAAAAATCTCTTGGTAAGAAATTACAAATGAATGGATTATCTACTTGAAAGAGGAGAAGGTAAAATATAGAGGAAATGAATAATATTACAATGTTAATAAATTATTGTGTCACAATATAAGTGCATAACTACATAATGGTGAATTTTTTCTGTAAGCATATGAACCATTTCCTTTAGATAATATAAAAATTGAACATAAACTTTTTGGCTGAAAACAAAATGTATTATGTCACAGCTCTGGAGGCCAGACATCTGATATAAGAATCACTGTGCTGAAATAAAAAATGAGCAGGGTCATGATCCATCCAGGGCTCCAGGGGATCCCTTACCTCCTCCAGCTTCTGGTGGCTGCTGGCATTCCTTGGCTTGGGCCACAACATTCCAGTGTTCAAGACCATCAGCTTCAAGTCTGTCTGCCGTCTCCACTGTGTGTCAAGTTTTCCTCTGCCCCTCTTACAAGGACACTTGTAGTGGCATTTAAAGCCCACCTAGATAATCCAGGATAATCTTCCCATCTCAAATGCTTTAACTGAATCATACCTGCAAAGACTCTTTCCAAATAAAGTTACAGGAGTTCCAAGGATTAGCACCTTCTCTCTTTGGAGGCCATTATCAGCCTGCCACAGCATGAGTTGATATCTCCCATCTTGAAGACAACTGCCCTTGACCAGAACCAGACAAACACACTTCCCTTTTTTTTCTGGTTTTTGAAATCACAGCAATCAGGCTTTTATCTCTAGAACTCACTCCTCTGGACTTGCTTAGTTAAGGTCATGATTGAACTAGACCTGTCTTCAGTGATCAACATCCTTGATGTATCAACAGCCATTGACACAGTTGATGACATCATCTTTCTCATAAGACTTTCTTCATTTGGTTTCTGGAATACTCTTTTCTTGGTGTTTCTTCTACCTCATAGTCCTCTCTTTGGTCTTCTTTTCCTTTTCCCTCTTCATTTCCTTTAAAGCTGGAAGTGCTTCGGTCTCTGACATCTTCTGTTCTGTATACTTACACCCAAGTGACCTTATCCAGTCCCTCTATTTATAGATAATTCAGTATTTTCCCTCGGGTGTACAATTGGCAGCTCAAACTGGACAAGTCTGAAACTGAACTCTGGATTTCTCCCTGAAATCTGTTCCTCCTCCTGTCTTCTTCAGCTCAATACATAAATATTTATTGAGGGTTCCATTTAATGGGGTTTCATTCTTCCCATTGTTTCTAGAACAACAGATGCAACCTGCCAACAAATCATAATGACTTTTTTTTTGAGATCCAAAGTCTCACCTCTCTACTACTTCTAGTTCATTCCAAGATACCATCATCTCTTGCCTGGATTATTGCAACAGTTTATCAGTTGGTCTTATGCCCTCCACCCTTGCTCCCCTTTCAAATCTGTTTGTCAGTGATAGCTAAAATGATCCTTTAAGTTGGTAGTGCCATTCCTTCGCTTAGAATTCTCCAGTTGTATACTTACTCAGGGCAAAACTCCAATACAGTGGCCTTTAAGGTCCCACATGATCAGGCATCTGTTAACTCCCAGGCCTCTTCCTCTTTTACTCTAATCCTTAACCACTCCTCTCCAGTTATCCTGGTCTCTGCTGTTCCTGAACATTCTCATCACACCCCCACCTCAGGGTCCATGCACAGGCCTGTCTTTTCCATATTTCATGCTTTCACCTTTCTTATTTTGGGTCTCTGCTCAGCTATCACTGTAGTAGAGAGAATTTCAGTGCTGAAATGCCATCTGCCACCCCTCTCCATCCCTTTTGCCCCATTTTATTTTTCTTTATATCACTTTAATCACTTATAAAGACATATGTTTATGTATTTTCTATTTTTGCCTCTTACTCAATCATAAGCTTTTTGAGGACAGGGACCTGACTTTTATTTATAGCTAATTTTTGACGTCTAATGATTGCCTGATACATATTTGGCGATTAATAAGTATTTCTTAAATATAGCAAAGGATAATTAATGCCTCATATAGTAACTATTTGGTGATCTTATTATCTCTAGTCCCAAGAAGACTCCTATGTCACATTCAGGCCAGTGGCTTTATGAAGAAAAGCCAAGTAAAAGGGACGTGCTCCATGAAGATGGTCCTCTTCTGCATGAAAATGTACGCAGAGAAGTTAGTGACTTCTGCAAGTGGGCTACCACTCTTGTAAGTTAGCAGGAATACTTAAACCTACTTGAAAAAGTCAATCTCAAAGTTGCTTTCATTCAAAAACACTGTTTGAATAAAATGTAAATCAAATCATCCAAGTCATAAAGGAATAAGTCTTTTCGGTCATTTGTAATAGAAATACTTCTGGTAGGTGAAATTTCTGGAGTTTGCAAGCTTGCAGCTAATTTTAAACATTTATGTTTATATCTCACGTCATTGATATGAAATTTTTTTAAATTTTCCATTTCAATGTCAGGAACTTCTTTTCTCTCCTTTATTCCTTCTCCAATCCATGCCTCTGAGTTATATTTATTTCTAAGTACTTGGACGGCTGTGCTTGACTGTAAACTTTACAAAACGTTTTCAGACAGGAAGAGACTTTTGACTCAGTTATCAAGGACTTTCCTTGCCCTCCTTCAAGAATCTATTGGGGAGGAGGACAGGAGGGAAAAGGGGCAGTTATGAACTGAAATCAATTTCCATGCATGTCTGAGATTGTCGGAATAAACCCAACTATATGTAACTATGTAGATCTAACTTTAAAAAAAGAATCTAGTAAGTTACTTATTTCTTTCTCTGAGTCTCTGTAGATGTTTACTTTCCTGATGCTTTCCATGGATTTAAGGACTTCCAGTATTTATTACCAACCCTGCCCGCCATGTTTTGAGTGTATTAGTTGGTTTTAGTTGATGTATTTATTTATCACTGTTTCCTTGGATAGTGACTACCCTCCAGACCCCAGTATAATTCTGACTGGTTTAAAAGAGAAAAGGGAATTTAACCAAAGGCATTAGGAGGTTGGGCCACAGCTGGATGCAGGTGCTGAAATGTTTTTAAAGGCTGTCCCTATCTTTCCTGCACCCCTCTGTCTCACTTCATTTGCAAGCAGTCTTTCCCCAAGAGATGCCAAAAATAGTCATTAAAATTTCCAAGCTTATGTTCTACCAGTGAACAACCTAAGTGGGAAGAAAGTAACTTCTTTTTAAAAAATATTTATTTTATTTCTTAGTTTTAGGTGGACACAATATCTTTATTTTACATTTATGTGGTTCTGAGGATCAAACCCAGTGCCTCATGCATGCTAGGTGAGCACTTCACCACTGAGCCACAACCCCAGCCCATAACCTCTTTTCAATAGGAAAAAGTTCAGGGCTGAAAGAAACTTGAGTCATATGCCTGTGCCTGAATTAACCACTCTGATTAAGAAAATGGAGAATACTTATTGGCTAGGTGGGGTCACATGTCTAACCCTGAGGCCAAGAAGTGAGGGTGTCCATCTCAGCTACAGCAGATGGAAAGGGAGGGACTAAACTGGTCAGCATCATTCCAAGTGAATTTGGGGACTAAATAAAGGCAGAGACACAGAAAGTACCTTTTATTGGGGTTCAGTGACCACTCCTCAGCCGCAGCTCCCACAAGGGGGGCAAGGCAGGCAAAAAAGAGAGCGAGGAGCACAAGCTGAACCCTTTTATTGGGGAGAAGCCATTCAAATGAGGCAAGGGGTCAGGTTTTTGGGGGTTGAGTGTAGCTTCCTGAGGTCTTGCTGTCAGTAGGTTGACTGACATCTAGGAAGGCCACACCCATCTCATGTGCTGGGTGAGGATCATAGCAGGACCCTGCCCACAAACAGAGGGGAAACATTGGTTCAGTCCACCCTGTACTCAATGCTCAGAGTTCAAGCACACACAGCCCATGGCTGGCTTGCCACATCTCCACACTCTTATCGCTCAAAGCTAGGGGGCGCTGGATTCCCATGTGGTAGCTCCCAACAGGGGAAAGCTCCCCAGCAGGTGATTGGAATAGAGGTGCTAGAGAAGGTAAATGATGTCCACTATACCTGGTGCCTGCACTACTGCTTCTTCATAATCTGGCTAATTTCCAGCCCTTCTGCCTCTCCTGTCCTTCCACTGGAGATAACTCCTTTAGGCAGGAAATTTGAAGAACCTTAGATTGGTAGACAGTTGATCAGGTAAACAGCCTTCTTTGTATTCCTTTATGACCAAGATCCCATCTTCACCTAAATTCTACAACTTAGGTCCTTATGAAATCACCCTGTGGTATTTTCTTCACAACTAACTCTTCTGTGCTATTTGTTTTTCGTCTCATTGATTCTGCTCCATTCTCATTTCATCCTCATTCTGATTCCACTCATCTTTTATGCCCCGACTGTTTCTGGTCTTCTCTTATGCACTCCGCTCCACCTTCAGCTCCAGTCGTTAATATCCTCAATCTGTTTCCCAATTTTCTCCTCCAGAGTGGGATTCTGTTAGTCTAATTTATCTTTTAGCATTAACTGTATCATAGGTTAAGAGAGTACAGATTAGCTCTTCTTAATGTGCCCACCTCTCCTCCCTCCACCTACAGCTGGGGGAAGGAAATGGAGAGGTTGTTCTGAGTATGGCTGAAACATGGCTGACTAGAACTGCCTCTTTCCCCTGGGGCCATGAGGAAGACAGATTTCCTTATAAGAGTATGTGGACAAAACAAGCACTTCGATATCTAGACGCATCTGGAAAATCCCTCTAGAGAAGTCACTGCTGTGAAGTGTTGGAGAGCTTTGTTTTTGATCAAACAGACATTATCTCCCCCAGAGACTCACGCTTCCTGCAGGTCCTAAGTATCTCTTAATGTACTGACAAAGCCCTCCAGTCCCAAATACTTCTTGTCTGCAGTGAGTGATGACTGAGCATTTTTCCCCCCCTCCCTTGGAACTTCCCCAACAGTGGCCAGAAACCTCCCTTAGATGAAAGGAGAAAGCAAGGAGTATTTCATCGCTTCCCTCCATTCATGCTTGTGGTATTTTTCTAGGGAAGTTCAAACATTGATGAAGAGTTCATCTTGAAACAGTTTGACCTTGGCTATCAGAGCAAACCACCCTGTGATGTGCTCCGTGTCATGAGGCTAAACCAGGTTCCTTTGGAGTTGAAGAAGAGTGTGGGGCTAAATAAGCTACAGGAGGCAGATTTCTTCCAGAAACGAGATCATGAGAGGACACAACGGAAACCACAGGTGATTGCAGAAAAAGAGTAGCCTGAAAATTTAAGAAAATAAGTTGCATTAAAGTCTTAAAAGTTCCTGAATTCTGGTGTTTCAGGGGTACTGGCTTTTTAAAACAGAATTCTTAAGATATTTTCATGTTTAATAAATATTTGATAAATATTTAATACATATAACAAAGTCAGTTATTCATATAAGCATGTCATTCAGAATTATTGTTCATATATGAATAGTCATTTTCAGAGACAAAATTTTTAATGTGTTTTATACGTTGAAGTTCTAGCAACTAGCAGAAATATGCATGAATGTTTGTTATTCATGAGCATTAGTAAAATTACTTGGTTGACTCAATTTATGATTGTGAACTCTTGTTAATTTTATGCCCAAAGAATTCTTGAATTTTTACCAGCATCTTATAGACCACAAACCATCATTCTGACCACATGCTTTCCTAATCATTAGCAAACCACTCAGGTTCCTCACCCTTCAGTTGCTATGCAGTTGAAAAAATAAGGCAACAGAAAGGAGAAATAGCATGCCATGCTCGGAAGGGAAGTACTCTGAGCTTTTAGAATACTTTTTAAATTTTTTTACGTAATGTGTCAGTACAAATATATATATCTCAAATTGTGCAATCAACAAGAGATTTAAGAGCCTAAATTGGGTGGGTACTGATGTGTTCGATTTTTGTTCCTGTGACAAAACACAGAAGAACCCCTTCAAGGAGAAGAGATTTATTTTGGCTCACAGTTTCAGAGGGTTGAGGTCAAGGTGGGCTGGCTCCATTGCTATGAGCCTGTGGTGAGGCAGAGCCTCATGGTGGATATGGTATGGTGTAGCAGAGTCACTTACCTCAAGCAGCCAGGAAGCGAAAAGATAGAGAAGAAGGGGCTAAGAACAAGAACTATCCTTCTAGGCCCTATCCCCAGTGGCTTACTTTCTCCAGCCATCCCCCACCATCTACAAGTTTCTACCACCTCCCATTCATCCATTCAGCTATCAATGGATTAATCTGCAGCGATCAATCTGCTGATTGAGTCAGAGTTCCACCTGTGAACATTGCTGCATTGAAGATCAACACAGGAGCCTTTCAGGAACATTCCAGCTCTAAACTATAAGGGGGAATCTTTTCCCTTAAAGTCTTAAAAACATCAGGGCTGGGTTCAGTGGTCGAGCTCTTGCTCAGCACGCTTAAGGCACCGAGTTTGATTCTCAGTACCACATAAAAATAATTAAATAAAAGTATTGTGTCTATCTACAACTAAAAGTATTTTTTTAAAAAGTCTTAAAAAATCAACAGTTAACCAACAGCATAATATATTTTACCTGAAATGAGCTTATCTGCTCTCTTAATCTTTTGAATTTATAATACAGTTTTAATGATTACTTTGATGTTCTTATATGCTAATTTTAACATCTGTATATGTTCTGTGTCAGTTTCCATTACTTGATTTATGTCCTCATTGTGGCTTATGTTTTTCTGCATCTCTACAAGTTTTGTGATCTTTGAGTAGATGCTAGGCATTGTGAATTTTACCTTACTGGGTGTTTGGTATTTTTGTATTTTTGTAAATATTTTAAAATTTTTTATGGGATTTTTTGGAGGAATCCGATCCTTTGGGAGCTTGCTTTTAAGATTTATTGAGGACTGGATATGTAGCTCAGTGGTAGAGCTCTTGCTTAGCATGTGAAAAGCTTTGGGTTCCATCTCCAACACCAGCAATAAACAAATAAATAAATAAATAAAATTTACCAAAGCAGTGTTCAATCTATGGCTACTTGATCCCTACTACTGAGCAAGACCCTCAGGCGTATTCTTCCAACTGTCCTGTGAATCATTAGGTTTTTCGTTAGTTTTTTTTTTGTTGTTGTTGTTGTTTTTTAAAGGCACTGATCCTGCCTGTGCAAATACGGGACACTATGTTAGTTCTGTCTGTCTGTGTCTTCCTCCTTTCTCTTACTCTGTGTGGTAAAATAAGTTTGCCTTGGTCTCCCTGAACTCTCAATTCAAAGAGGACACTGGGTTGCTCCTGGCTAGGCCATTCATCTCTTTGTGTGACCTGCAAACCCTTTAAAGGCAATACACTGGTGGCAATTATGGAGCTTAGTTTGTTTGTTGCTTGTCTCTCAGGGACCACTGTTCTTCTGTTATCTGAGGTTAACTGTCATGCAAACCGTTAGCTTGCTTCTCTTTCTCTCTCTCTCTCTCTCTCTCTCTCTCTCTCTCTCTCTCTCTCTCTCT